ATTGATCCTTAAACACAGACAATGACTTTTTCTCCCCAATTAAGCCCTGAGAAGAAGAAAAAATGCAGGTGAAACCTGTGGATTCCCTCCTTTCCAGTTTGGATTATGAACAAAAGATGGGAGTTGATGACTAAACTCAACACCACGGAACAAGGTAGTCAGCTGGCAGACAGATTATAGCAATATTAATGCGTCCTTATCGCTAGCCTTGAAGTTTCCGGGTATTTGTTAAACATTAAAAGATTTGAAAGGAGTTTTAAAAAATAGTTTTTTCTTTAAGGTTTAAAACGAACAAAGTCGCAGCTGAAGAAAGTTGGTAATTTAGGTCAATATTTAAACTGCCCAAACAATAAGGAAATCCATGGCATTTAGGAATGTACTCATCCTTCATGCAGTGCAGCAAAAACAGTCCATGTGTGGACTTTGATTATCAGTGCAGCTTTTATCACTGGCAGTTCTTATGTTGCTCTTGAGTCCAATTAACAAGATCACTAAGCAAATCCGAAAAACCACAGAAAGTGTGCCGAACCTAATCCACAAAGATCTATTTCGGGATCTAGCAGCAAAGTGTTGGACTGCTTGCTGACTTTTCTACTTCCTCTGATGTAGTGCAACTCCATGAGCCTGATTGAAAAGCCTGCAGCCAGTCTGACAGAAAACAACCTCCCGGAGTTTATCATGACAAAAAAATCTAGGTTTAGGAATTTAGAAGGAAGGTAAAATAAGACACATAGTGCAGACTTAAAAATAAAAAAAGCAAAAGTAACAAATGTAGGGACTAAAAAAGAAACTGTAAGTAAATGTAAAACTTAAAATCATTGAAAGCCTTTAAAAAAAAGGACGCTTTAAGACATGACTTAAAGGAAGTGACTGACTGCAACAGATCGGATTTCCTCAGGCACCTTGTTGCAAATGCTCTGTCCTCTTTAGGTTTTAGCTGGACGCCTAGAACAAATAAAAGACCTCTGCCTGCGGATTTAAAGGTACGTGCTGCACATTCTAATAAGAGGTGAACTCTTAAAGTCAATTAAAAAACATTCTGGGAGAACATGTAAACATGCCTAAACAGGAGTGATACGATGCCATCTCTTTGGTCTAGTTAAAATCCTGGCAGTCTGCAGTCATTCAATAGATTTATTTGGCTCAGGCAAATAAACAGCCTGTTGCAGTAATCTCGGTGTGAGGAAATAAAAGTATGAAAAACACTTTGCAAAGGCAGCCATTCAGAGAGCTCAGTGTACCGCGGAGGGTCAGATGATCTACGAGGCCGATATATCTGTGTGTGATCAGCATAAAATTTTAAACATAACAGAGACTATAAGGAGAATAAATATATGAAGAAGAAGAAGATTGGACCTAAAATGGGCTCCTGCGGAGACACAGAACTTCCTTTTTGACAAATTTGACTATTATTGCTAAACCCTGCATGCTGTCACTATAAAAAAATGCTTTTGTCTGCCTCGATGACCATTTACCATTTATTATTTATTCAAACTTGTCAAGTGCCAGTAGAGACAGAAGTAAGGACAGCATGCAGTATGTTAAAGACTCAGAAGCCTGAATTTTCTGGCTGATGGTTGTAAAAGTATAATCAACTGAAATGCACACATCTGGCAGAACCCCTGAAATTAACAGCAGGACAAATAAAACAATGAAACTCAAGGTAATAACTTTAGTTGTGACGTTGATATAAAAGACAATGTTTCAAAAATAACTAAACAAGTAAATGCACAGATTTGTTTCACGGGAGCGTAAAGTGGAAGGTACCTCTGTTCGCTCCTATTGTTGCTAATATGCCAAAAGATGGGAAAGGTGTTTATATACAGGATGCAAAGTCCCCTTAAAAAGCACTCAGTCACAACAATATTGAATTGTGAGTTCTACACTGATCAAACATAAAACAGATCATATTTATATAGCCCTCCTTAAATGTAAGTGGATGCTGCCCTCATATAATAATGGTCCAGATTCTTCTTTTAGTGATGTTTAAACCATGACTGTAATGAGAGCAGGTGTAGAAATGTTCTCTGGTCTGTGCAGAAAAACAAATTAACATTATATGACTTGATTATTATTGTACTGGCACTATAACATCAAAATGCAGTGCAATGGCGTTTCCAAGGTAATCTTGATAGAATAAAAGTGTGATTTTTATAGCACTAATAGTAAATATTAGTTTGTTATGTAAGTTATATTCGACATTTGCACTGTTTTCAGGATGCATGTTGTTATCTTATCAGTATGACTAAATTGTACTGGCAGAACAGCCTTATTACAATTGGAGGCACTTCATCCATAAAGCTGGGTGCTGATTGTTTAGAGGTCTTTACAGTGGGTTTTCTCTCAAATTGCACCTTTAATGAGTAATGATTCATCACAAAGTGTGACCAACAAATAAGGATTTTGTGAGAGTGACAGAACATCTAAATCCAGACAGTTTTTATCAGTTGGTCTCTTTTGGTGTCAAATATTAATCCGGTCCATGTACAAGTCAGCTCTTCTGTTCATTATTGGAAAAAAGAGGTTGGCTCTTTAAAACCTTTGAGCTTTTCATTACAGAACAGTCATAAAAACAGTACAGACGCAATGTTCAGCTCAGTCTTGTTCTTTAATTTCAGGCAGTAAAAAAACAAAAAAAAACAAAACAGCAGCAAAGCGACTCACTCATTAACTCAAATATCTATTAGCTAATCACATGGGACCAACTCAGTGCATTTAGGCATGTAGATGGGTGTAGATGGGGTCATGATGCCCTGCAGAAGTTCAAACTGAGCAGCGGAACAGGAGAAGAAAAGATGATTTAAGAAACTTTCAACATCTCATGGTTGTTGGTGCTAAATGGACTGGCATGAGTATTTCAGAACCTGATGATATCCTGGGATTTTCCTCACACAATCATCGCTTAGGCTCAGAGAGAGAGAGAGAAACTATTCAGCAAGAAGTAGTTCTTTGGGTGAAAATGCAAGAACATGTTGTGTGGTCATGTGGATGGGCATTAATTACCCCTCCCTTACTGAAACACCATAGTATTCATAATGAAGATCACTCTGACTCATCCCACCCTAGCACCCCCCAGCAACCCAACCGCCCTTTATTTCCCCTTCTCTTCTTGTCATTATTATTATTATTATTACCTGCCAATGAGTTCTCTCTACTCACATAGTTCCACAGTTACCAGATCTCAATCCAATAGAGCTCCTTTGACATGTGGTGGAGCAAGATAGTAATTTCATGGATGTGCAGCAAACAAAGCAGCAGAAACCGTGTGATCATGTCAGTCTGAACCAAAAATCTGAGGAATATTTCCAACATGAATCCATGTCATAAATAATTAAGGCAGTTCTGAAGGCGGCAAACCTGATAAAGGTGTCAGAGGATGTATAATGATTATGGAAATCTAAAATTCTAACATTTGGATTGTTATTTTGTTAGATTAAACTTAGTTGGATGCAGAACCTTTCATTACTATTTTAATTTCAAGAAGCCTGAAATTCTTGCATACAGGATTTGGAAAACACAAACAATGATTATCTGTACGTGTGCTTTCTAACCAAACTCCCTTCATAAATCATTCAGTAAACCCAATAAATAAAAAACACTAATCTGTGTGGATGCTATATTATGTCTATTGCTTTAATGATTAACTGCCTTTATTATTAAAACTCCTAAGCTGTACATGAACATAGAAAGGTCACCCAGTGTTTTTGCTTTGGCTGCTTTTTCTTGTTTTAATTACTACATTTGCCCTTTTTTTGTTTTCATCATGTTTAATACCAGAACGTTCCTCAGTAACATTTAGTCAGATTAGACCAACATGATCATCTATGATCAATAGAAGTGTTCGTCTTTAACAGACGTTTTATGCCTCAATCTCTTATGAACTTCCTATATGAACTGCAGTAATAAGTAATTTATAAAACAACCGGGAGTTTGCAGTGATGCCAGTGTGCTGTGTAAGAGTGATATATGAGTATTAATCGCATGATATGATCACTGGTTTTTAGACTAATATAAGCTTCTAATCTGAGTTGCTGTGTATATTGATGGTGTTTTTGAGTCATGGGAGGTATTTATCTTCATTTAAGACAAAGAACTTTTGTGATAAAGTCTTTACAAAGATTCACTGGGATTCCTTGAAAATCACCAGCCACTGTTTGTTAAATGTCCCAGATGGAAGTGTTTGTGTTTAAAGGCAAAGTTGTGGTTGCCATTTTAAGATAACATGGTTTACAATTTAAATGCTATTCTTAAACAACACACTTCCCAGCGTTTTGCCTTTTTTTAAAAAAAACAATTATATTAAAAAAAGTGTAAAAAGTGGAAGAAACTAGACAGCTGTTGACATCTCATCGCAATGTCGCAATTGAACGAGAAAATCCTGGTTGCCAGAACTTTTGCAAAGTCAGCAGCAACAGTCACAAGCTTTTAATCCACTGAATGATTTCATTGTTTTAAGACGTTGAGTTTTTTTTTCAAGTTGTTCTTTGTTACAGGGCAGATGCAGGAGTATGGGTTCCTCCTATCCTATTCTGACACATGCAACCTGCTGACTGTACGAAATCATACTTTAGAATACTTTTCTAGTCTTACAATGAGCTATGCAGCAATGAGAAATAACATCTGACGCAGTAACAACAGTCAGACAGGAGATAAAATAATGTTCATATAACCTAATTATGGCTGTAGCGAGGCTATGATTGTTTTTTTGTCAAAATCGGTGCATTTTAGGTTAAAACACCTCATCTCTCGCTGTGCTGTTTGACATCAACTGACATCAACTCCCTTCTTTGTTTAATGAATCAGTTATTAAAAATTTGAATCATTCAGAAATTCATCTCAGGTGAAACTTACACAGATATTGACCTTTGGTTAAGTTACTGGAACTGCACTCCTTCACATGATAAAGTCTCTCTATTGTTTGGCTGTCCGTCTCCAGTCCCTCCCCCTTATTCTGCTTTTACAGCTACTTTTTGCTCTTTCCCAACAGTGTCAGCTGCTTCTCTGTCAAGGATGTTGATCTCTTTGAGTTAATGTTTGATATGCTACCAGAGATATAGACAGAAAATTGCACTGATTTTATTCTCTTTACCACAGTGACTTTCTGTGGAGCAGACCTCTACTGTTAACCCACCTGAGCTCAGTTTTCAGCTCCACAGCTGCCCTGTGCCTCTTCTTCATACTGACTAGTGTTTGTGTTAGCGTTGACCTACCTGCAACACTTAGAAAGAAAGAGTTTATTTCAGTTGTTAGTTCATTTTTTGAGAGCATCATGTATAACTGGGAGAGAGTGCTGCATCTTCTGTGGCACCACAGGAACTATATCATCATAATCGTCACGCCGCTTGTATTCCTTCCTCTGCCTCTCGTCTATCCTTCATCGGTGAGTGTATTTGTTTAAAAAAAAAACAGCTAAAGATTTATATTCACTGACCAGACTAATCTGTACACGTGCAATTTGAGAAGTTTGGCTATAACCCGTTCAGTTAATCTGACACTTGTTCTTAAAGAACAGATCTTGTAATTATTTTTAAATCTATGATTTAAGTGTTGGATCACTGACCTACGCTGATGCCCACCTTTAAAACTATACACTCTCACCTGAGTGAATTTACTTGAAGTGCAGTCAATCACAGTTAAACAGGCTAGGTTTGTCCGTCTGTCTGTAGTGGATAACATAAATGGTGTTTGAATGTTGTTCGAATTCAAGGGCTAAAAAGCTTTTAAAGTCAGGTGTTTTATTCACACTTATTAACATGTCTCTCTTGTTGCAGTTATTGAATCTGCTGAAAACATGTGGACTAATGATGGTTATTTCTAAAAATAAACAAATACTCACACTACAACATTGGTCAATTATCCTCCTGATACCCAGGCTCTTATTTGGGGTTCATTTTTAATCTCCCTGACCTCGGGCCCTGATAAATCTTAAAATCGTTGAAGAGGAAGTTATTACAATGTTGTAACAGCCTCATGTGGTACCAGTTTTCTTCTATAGGACAACACAATAAACACATTGTATAGCAAAGTAAGAAACACTTTGTTGAACAGAATGAAGTTTAAGATGCAAAAAAGCCAAAATTTAATGTCCCCATGTCAGGACGCAGGCCGTCTGGAGAGAAGCATAGATGATATTCTTATATAGTTTTGATGATTTTCTTTAATAGACTGCATTTTTATGTCTATAACAAAACTGTCACAGTACGCAGAAACAGACTGTATGTATTGTGAATACTGGACTCAAATACAGACACAAAGGAACGTGGAACAAAACTTGAATTAACAAAAAGCGAGCCATTTAACATGGCTGATGGAGAAATCTAAAGTAATGCATAAGGCAAACAAAGATGAGAATAAACAATAACCTAAACTGGGGAAACTAAAAATAAACATAAAAAACCCTAAAAATGAAACTTGGCATGGATACATAGATACCTGGAACATTGAGAGATGGCGCAAAAGACAACAGACGACCTGACCCTGAACAAAGGAGGACAAAGGACTTAAGTACACAAAAAGATAATGAGAGGATGGGGAACTGGTGGGAACACAGCTGGGACAAATCAGACCTGACGAGGGGGAAGGGGGAAGCCAAAATAGACACTCTGCATACAGGACAGGGACTCTCACAGTAAAACAGAAAAAAGTATGGAACCCAGACATGAAAACACGAACGTGACAACATAAGACACACAGACATGAAACGCATAAAGGGCGAGGGAAACTTAAACACAGGGGTAGAAGAAACAAGGGGAATCTAAAAAACAATGAACTATAACAGCAACTTAGGCATTGTAGAAATGAACTTAGAAAACCTAAAGGACTTAAACATAAATCAAAAACATCAAAATAGGCTAAAACTCAAAACGCCGGGTCAAAAGACCCAAGATCATGACACAAACATAAGCTGCTGTGACATTACATGTCTGCAGGTTATTTTTTGAGTGCACTTAACTCAGTCACCACGTCTCTCACTTTGAAAGACTTGATTTAATCGAAAGATACCGTAGACATCCAGGGCCAGTTTTTTAATATGATTACTAAACGCAGTCACCTCAAAATCCCTGCAAGCCATGTAATCTCTTATGTGTTGACATATTGCAACTGAATTCAACACCAAATTGATTTTATCATCTTCATTTTTTGCTGAAAGTGCTGAAGTGGTCTGTTAATGTATGAAGGATAAGAAACAAAGCGGGCTTTGTGGTGCTCAGCTGAACCTTTGTGCTTTACAGTGCAATTAAAGACACATAAAGATGGTGGGCTCAAACTACACTACCCAATATGACCCCTATTACTGTTAATAAATTAGAGCCTGTGTTATCTGTAATTATCCTGAGCTCTCTATTTAATATGTAGACATGAGATTTAACGCTTAAATACACAGACTTGTAGTAAAAAATATTTCTATAATATACAATGCATTCCATTACACAAAAGCTGCAAGAGAACGGTGTAGCTGTCTAAAATATAACTGTAAAGTAGATAATAACACAAATATTATTTTGTACGTTTTATTATAATGTTTTAGGAAATCTTTTTGAAACTTAAGCTTTATCAGTGTCTTGTCTGCAGTGGAATGTTTTGTGTCGGGAGCTTAAAGAGATTTTATAACTTTTATTGAGGATCATAAAAACTTATCTTGTGAGATGTGAACACGACAAACTGTTTGTTTTATGATCAAGGGTTGCTGCTATCTGCATGTATAGAGACTTGGTGCCTTTTAAAAAGAAAAGATAAGCGAAAGGAAAATTCCATGTATGCACTTTGCTGCAAACTGTGGGTTGGTCTCTGCTTCTGTGTGCGTCTGCACAAAATGTAATCAAATCACATGTTAGTGATTGTGATGTTATATTTATGTGTCTGTGTTTACAGGAAGCCAGATGTGGCTACGCGATCATCCTCATGGCTCTGTACTGGTGCACAGAGTGCATGCCTCTGGCTGTGACTGCCTTACTGCCAGTCATCCTCTTTCCTATGATGGGCATCATGAAGGGTGGAGATGTAGGGTCATCTTTTTCCACTTCTGTGCTTCATAAGTATATTTTAATAACACAACACAGCAATAATGTAAAACGTTCACTGCTTCAACAGGAAATAATAGCGTAAGTGGCAGCCAGGTGCTGCTAATAAAATGAACTTGATTAACGGATTATCAGCACCTCTAAAAAAGTAGAAGATTTGCCAGTTTGTTGGTCTGGTGCATTGATGTGTTTGTTAACACAATGCCAAGGAGCAATGATTTTAGAGAAGCAATTGTTGCTGCTCGTCAGTGTTTGGAAAGGCCATTTCTGAACAGAGCCGGGCCCAAATCCCCCAGAACTATGTGAGAAACCAATAAAGCTGTGCAGAAAAGGATTACGTCAAGTTATTACTGTTAAAATTGATTCATGGCATTGTGTACTTCACTTCACTCACTGCTTCTGTTTTTAGTTTTGGTTAATTAATAATGACACTGTGTAAAATGTTGTGTGTTGCTGTTTTTCTGAGTTTCTATTTAAATCATTTTAGAACCTGCTCAGGACCACATAACCTTTTATTATTTATTTTATTATCTTATTATATTGTATCTTATACATAAAACTGTCTTTATTTTTAAAATGATTCTATATAAAAATCTGAGTTATTGACACACGTAAGAAAATTTTGCTCCTGCTTATGAATATAAAATGAAAATCAGAGATTTTAAATACAATTTAGGATATTTTTTTTTAATTGAACTGAGAACAGAAAGACCATTTATGAGGAACTTGAATTAAAAAGTGTTGATACAACACTGTGTGTCGCATGAGAAAGCAAATAGGAGTGTCAAGGGAAGAAACTCTTCAGTTAGTTTAGTGTGGAAAATAGCTGTTAAAAAGGACAACAGTTATTGAAAGTGTGATGTGACCCCCAGTCACTTCTTTTACGCCATACTTCTACTGGCATGGTAACACTGCTGATCCCGCTTTTTTGCGTTTATTGCTCATAAAGCGTATTTGATGATACATGTAGGTCCACAGGTTACCTTTGATCCATGTGCTAATGTTAGCGACTGTGTGATCTGTTTCAGGTCAGTATTGAGTATCTGAAAGACTCGAACATGCTGTTCATCGGAGGTCTGCTGGTGGCCATCGCGGTCGAACACTGGAACCTCCATAAACGAATCGCTCTCCGGGTTTTGCTGCTGGTTGGTGTTCGTCCATCGCTGTAAGAGAGCCTTGACATACAAGTCTACAAGTCTTTCAGAATCCGGTCGTTAAGTGATGACGTGACGGATCCTACTTCCGGGCCTGAAGTAGTCTGCGTTTAATATGGCTTTTGTGTTGTTAACATGTTTAATGTTTTGTATTTTCTTCTATTTAATCTCAAAAAGCTCCTAAAACAGTCAGTGAT